ATATATTTATATATATAATATAAAATATATGAAAAATTGATGTGGGTACTCAAATGAAAGGTCTTAATGAATGCCATATCGAAGTGAGCTTATATCTTTAAAAATGTCAATAGTTCACAAAATACAAGGTAAATTCCTAATTATGTATCTAGAGATAGAGCATATTTGAATAAAGCCTAAATACTTATCCTGAAAACGAAATTTTTCTTATTCTCTCAATATAGACTAATTAAATAAATCATTGTATTTAAATTCTAAATAATTTAAAAAAATAAACATCAATTCAAATCAAGTATTCTCGCGCAAATAATGCATGTGATGATAAAAATTAATGAATACATATATTGCTGTACAAAAAAAAGTGATAAATTAATTAAAAATGATAGCTAATGATGAATTATCGCGCGCATTGATCTTATTTTAAAAATCTTATAAATACTTGTTGAACTATAATAAAATTTTAGCGCATAAAATAAGATCAATATAACAAACACAATGCACATGGAAGCATTTTAAAAATTAATAAAATAATTTTAATTATTTTAAATGATTCCATGTCGCGCTGCTTCCGTCAACGTGTTGCTCCAATAATTAACCACCTTCATCAACAATGTTGACGGAATAAAAAATTTCAGTCTGCAATAAAAATTATAAATTGTTCCATTTTTTTTTTTAATTTAATTTTAATAATATACTTTTTTTTTGTGCAAAAAAAAATTGAGCAAATGTACTGGAGATAAATTTTGATTGCAGACTCGCGCTGCGCAGCACAAAATTCGCCAGCATAAAAAAAATTCATTAAAATATATAAAAAAAAAAAAAAAAGAAAGCTTTCTGCATTGAGCAATTAAATTAAAACCAAATTAAAATCGCTCTACGCATTGCTTAAGAACTTTACTGGAGCCACATGCACGTTATGTATTAGTACTCTCTGATAAAATAAAACAATATTAATAAATCTCATATTTTCAAATTAAAAAAAAAAAATAAAGTAAAGAAACAAAAAATTAAGAGTACTAATTCATAGTATTGTGACACGTGATAAATGATTACTAGCTTATAGTTACAGTTACCTTGGCTTCATCAAGTCTTGCTAATGCTTTCAAAAGATTACCGAGATCACTGCGAACACAGTACAGATCCTGGAAGCAATAATTAAATTATTAATTATAGACAACGGTAAAATGATATAATATACGTGAGATTAAAGGGATTACTCACTGGATTGTATTGCAAAGCAGTAACATAAGCTTGAACCGCTTGCTCCATGTCTCCAGCAGCGACCAGCGCCGCAGCCAAATTTATATACCCGTCAATGAAATCCGGCTTTAGTCTGACTGCATGTCTGTAATTTTCCAGAGCTTCTTGGAGCTGTCCTCGCTCCTTGTAGACGTTTCCCAAGTTACTGTAAGCTTCTGCTAATAGTGGGTTTTGTTTTATCGCGAGACTGCTGTAGTGTGCTGATCTGAAAAATTATATTACAATTAATTTATATAATTTATAATGACATTAAATTTAGCTTTCACTTGACAATTTTTTTATTTTTTCCAACAAAAAATTTTGTTCCAAAAATTGCATTTTTAATTTTTTAAAATTTCTTCAAGTCAATTTTTTTACTCATTTTTTTTTGTTTTTTTTGACATAATTTATTTATTAAAAAAATTCTCAAATGTCAGCTAAATTAATTTTTATTAATTTATATGATAAAATAAGTTTTTTGAAATAAATTTAGTCAATGTATTTGTCAAAAATTAATTTATATATATTTAAGAGACTAAGAAATATTTTTTAACGGGTATATCTGTATCATAAATTGGATTTTATATTTTTTCAGCGATATTTATAATTTAAATAATTTTATTATTCTTAAATAAATTTTAAAAATTTAATTTGGTGTTATCAGAAAGGTCTTAATAAAAATTAGTGCCTTATTTTGGTTTTATATATTTTTCAGTAATAAATTTTTTGTCAAATTTTTGGAGAAGTTTTTAATAGTTTTCTAGTTCTATAAATTTATTCCGTCAAATTTGTCCATTAAATTATTTAAAATTGATCCTAAAATAGCGCTATTATTTTTAAAATTAATTAAAAAAGTACCCAAACTATGTAAAGTATAATTAAAAATATAAATAATTATCAAGTCAAAGTTTGTCGTATTCATAACCTTTAAATTAATGATTGCAGGTTGCTAGTAATTATTAATGAATATTAACTTGGCAGATATTCAATAATTTTTGTAATAAATAAATTATGACAAAAAAAAAATTCTAAAAATTTTTAGATGTCGGCTAACTTAATTTTCATTCAGTGTCATAATTTTTTTGTTAAATAATATTAAAAAATAGTCATGACTGCTAATTTTAATGTAATTAATAATTAATATTATTGTAAAAATTTTAAAAATAATATTTACTTTTCCAGGCGCCGACATTGGAAGTGTATGGAGGATAACAGTAATAAAACACCAGTATTGTTTGTTTCTTGTCGCCATAACTGCATGCAATGTCTCTCGGCGTTCTCATAATCTCCGGACTGATATTCACGATGCGCCAACTCCAAGAGCCCTGAAATAAAAAATCAAAATTTTTATTTAACAATTTTTCATAAACGATTATTAAAAAAAAAAAGAAAATATTCTACTAACAATAAGAATTATTTACTAAAATAAAATCATGTAATCTCTTAGATTCACCTTCTGCGTTGTCATTGCCCACAACTATATTTTGTCCCGAGTAGTAATTAGAATATACTTGAGCATTTTTTTTAGTCATCTTATTCAACGAATAAATGTTTGTTATCTGAGGATTCATTTTATTATCTGAATTATTAATATAAACTTTAGGGATTTTGTTAAATTTAGTTTTTTCTCACAACGCGGTTATATTATAAACGTGGCGGAGTTAAAACTTATAACAGCTGCGTAATATTTTCCTGCCCAGGTTTCACCCTGCGTTCAAATTACATGGAAGGGAGCACAGACCCACTCAGTAGGGAGCAGGAACCAAATCAAATGAACTAGGGGGGAATGTAGCAACGACCAGGAGTGTAATTACTATTTCTAGCGCCCTACTTTGATTTATTTTTACCTTTGCAAAATTATCTAATAATTTTTTTTTAAATAAATCAGATATAAATTTTTACATAAAAAGTAAAGTAAAAAAATTTACCTTCAAATTTCATTTTGAAAAATATTTTAACAAATATAATTAGAGATTTTTATATTGATACGTTACTGATGAGTATTGTAATGGACATAAACGAAAAAGAAGGAATTTTATTGTACAGTTTATGTAAAGCAGATGGGACCTGGAATATTCCACTGATTTTTTTCTTTAATTCTAATATTATAGCATGACAATAACAATGGCAGTGGTCTAGTACAGTCTCATTATAATTTGTGCTGACACTTTAATTTTAAATTGTTAAAATTATTAAATTATAATTTGAAGTTTAAATTTCTGGAAATTAAAATTACACAGAAAGAAAAAATTCTTGGCTCCAGAAAATTCGGTCTGAAGGAAGACCGAAGTTGTGTTGGCCGAAGTAAAAATTTTTTTTGAAATTCTATTCTTGGTGGAAGTAATTTTTTTTTAATTAAAACTATCATAAATTTTTATATTTGATCAAGATTTTTAGATACTTTAAGGAAGCAACGCCACCTACTTCAGCAGAGAAAAAAATTTTTCTCTTTAATTAGTATTTGATACCCATTTTATATTATTTTAGCGTGCAATTATATAGATTAAATGAAAAAAAATGATGAAGTATTATTTGATCTTCCCATTTGATATGTTAATCTATAAAAATATTAATAAAAATTAACTTCTATCTTTATATTTAATTTTTTAGAGCAAGAGAAAAATTTTCTCAAGACAAGAAAATTTACTTTTATCAAGAACTAAATTTTTTGGAGCAAAAGGCTGAATTTTCTCAAATCAAGAAAATTTTCTTGACTTGAATAAATTTTCTTGGATCAAGATACGTATTTTTTTAAAGCAAGAGAATTAATGAGTGAAATTTCTTGTCAAAAAAAATTTTTTTTTCGCTCAAAAAAATAATTAGGAAGAAAAATATTTTCTTGGCTCAGAACCTTTTTTTCTGTGTAATTTAGTAGATATTTGATAATTTTTTTGACCAATAAATTATTACAAAAAAAAAAATTGACATTTTAGAAATTAAAAAAAATAAAAAATGCATTTTTTTACAAAATAATTTTTTGGAAAAAATCTATTTGTTAAAAAAATTAAAAAATGGTTAACTGACTGCTAACTTTAATGTCATTTTCTGGAAAAATATTCTTGGCTTGTAACTAAGATTGATATAATTTTTAATTAGAGATTGATTTAAACTCGGCTTGCGCATAAGATATATTATTAGTTTCACGTAACAAAGAAACCTGATCAATACACATGAACACGTGTTCGTATGCTTTAAATGTATAATGCATATGTTAATTAATTTTTCTGTCAATTAATGGCGATAATTAATCTAATAATTTTTTTTTTTCTAAATAATTTCAGCAAAATTTTATTTTAACGTTTACAAAATAAAAAAAAAAAATAATAATGATAAAAATAACAAATATAATTAATAAAAAGAAAATAAAATTACTCACCGACTGTAGAAAGTTGCTGAATTTCATTCATTTTTAAAATAACACTGGCACCTGCAATCTGATGTCCCTGCTGAGGCTGTTGTGGTGCTTGCATTTTGTCTCTGTTAATTATTTACTCAATTAATCACTCTGATTATTCTCGAAGTTATGATTATGATGATAATGATGAATAATTATAACTATTAATAAAAATTATCAATGTTAATTTATTTAATACATTTAATCTTGGATGTTCAAGTGTCTTTGTCTGCCGCTCGAGCACAACTCACGGTCTTTTTAAGATAAAACAACTCCCGATGCGAAAAAATAAAAAAACTTTTTAATTATTCGTTAGACCGTACCGAAACAGTGGTATTAAATTGCTACTTTTGATTGTGCCGTTAATTAAAAGTAAAAAAATGAGATATTATACCCGATAACTCTACGAGTTATTTGAAGACGCCATATTTAATTGATTTGCAATCCATGACCTGGCTCCCAGTCGTCATCTCTCTCTCTCTCTCTCTTTCTCTCTCTTTCTCTTTCTGTTTATCAATTGAGTTACAGTTTTTAAAATTATTAATTGGATTTTGTGAAAAAATCCTCTAACTATTAACTTCAAAAAATTAATTATTAATTAATATCTCAATTAACAATAAAAATTTTTAAAAATATTCTTTTAAATCTCAAATCTATTTTTAAAATTTTCAAGTCAAGTTTTCGATTAAACATTATGAATATATACTTCAATTAATTTTATTAATTAAATTGTTTTTTTCTTATCATTATTTAATAAATCATTTTTTTCCTCATTGTCTTTTACGTAATTGATTAAGTTTACTTTTGCAATAAGACGACAATTGACGTCAAGAGACGTTACTTTCCAAGAGTTGCCGCCAAGTTGGTGACAAGTTGCGGCAGTAGATTGTCAGAAAATTGCGGCCAACTTGGCTATCAGGGGATTAATTATATTAAAATAATTATTTAGAAAGATTGTAATTTTAATTTTAATTGATTAAACATAATTTTAAAAATTATCACTGAGTTTTTGTTATTAAATAATGAGTTTTAAGTATGACGCAGTTTTATTCGCGATGTAACGACAAGCAAGTGACAACGAACGTTGAGCAACAAGCTGCAATTGCTTTTGTCCTTGAGAGAGCTGACGTCACTGTAGTCATGATAACACTACTCTTCTCATTGGCTGGTTGGATTTTTTCGGCCATTATCTTTTGGCGCGAAAATTTAAATTTATTTTTACAAACTAAAATTTTTTAATTTCATTAAATATTAATATACGAAAATTAATTTAGCAGATATTTATAACCCTAAAGATAACCGACGTGCTTAATTTTTTTTTTAATTATTAAATTAAATTAGAACTAAAATGTATTTTTTTTTAATTTCACTTTGAGTTTTTCAAGTTTTTTATAAATGAAAAATTTTTTTATCATTTTGCAATAATTTTTTTAATAAAAAAAAGTTCTAAGGATTTTTAAATGTCGGCTACAAATAAATTATCGCTAAATAAATAAGAAAAATTGACATGTAAAAAATTAAAAGCATTACAAGTGCAATTTTTTAAAAATTAATTTGTTAAATTAAAAATTTATCAAATGACAGCTAACTTTAATGTTATTAATATAAATTTTAATTAATATAATAATTATAAACTTTTAAATTTTATTAAATATTAATTTAAAATTACATCAAAGTTAGCTTGACTAATTCTTGATTTTATTTGAAAACTTAATTAATTGCAAGAAATTATTTTAAAAAATTTTCCGTCTATTTTTGTCGTATAATTTATTTGTTTATTAAAAGTTTTAAAAATGATTACATACCTGCTAAATTAATTTTCATCAATTTAAATAAAAAAAAATTAAACTTGAAATTTTGTTATAATAATTATATAAAGGGTGAAAAATCTAAATAAAAATAAAATAATTTTTTCTAAATATTAACTATTCTCACATTTATTTCACAACCAGCGTCGATTTTTACAGTTTCTTAATTATTAAATAAGTTATTTTACATTAATAATGGCAATGGAATGAAACTTACAACTTATCTCGTCACGTTGAATGAAAAATGAATGACATGTTAAAAAAAGAACCACCCTCAATTGAGATATTTGTTCTCAAAGCTCTGCTGTGATAATACTCAATAAATTTGCAGTCTTGGTGACATCAAGTCTTTGGAAAAGTAATAATAAATAATAATAAAAAAAAAAAAACATTTCAACAAACTTAGTCAACCTCTTCCATCCTGGAGGCTTCATCATCGTTGACTTCCGCGATTGCTGGAGTTTCTTCAATAGTAATTTCCTCCATCGGAGCGTCATCATCATCCAATCCCAGACCAAGCTTGATCATCCTGTAAATTCTTGCCGCATGAATTTGCGGGTCTTCTAATGCAAACCCAGATGACATCAACGAAGTCTCAAAAAGAAGCATCACCAAATCTTTAACAGACTTGTCATGTTTGTCAGCTTCAATCTTCTGCCTCAAGTTCTCCATAATTGGATGATCTGGATTAATTTCAAGGTGTTTTTTCGCAGCCATGTAGCCCATCGTCGAGGAGTCTCTTAACGCCTGGGCCTTCATGATTCTCTCCATGTTTGCGGTCCAACCGTACTGCGAAGTAACAATACAGCAAGGAGAATCCACCAATCTGTTTGAGACAACAACCTTCTCAACCTTCTTCAAACTTGGTCTTGTCTTCCTCCATCTTCTTCTTCTCTTCATCCGACAACGGAAGCTCCAGACCTTCTTTGGTAACTGAGACCAGCTGTTTTCCATCAAACTCCTTCAGCTGCTGGACTACGTACTCATCAATGGGCTCAGTCATGTAAAGAACTTCAAATCCAGCCTTAAGGACTCGCTCAACAAAGGAACTGTGAGCTACTTGCTCGCGGCTTTCTCCAGTGATGTAATAAATGTGCTTCTGAACTTCCTTCATTCTACCAACGTAGTCCTTCAAGGCGCACATTTCTTCGCCCGTTGATGAAGTGTGGAACCTCAGGAGCTCTGAAAGCTTCTTGCGGTTGGTAGAGTCTTCGTGAATACCCAGCTTCAAATTCTTTGAGAACTGCTCGTAGAACTTCTTGTAGTTCTCCGCATCTTCGGCAAGTTCGTCAAACAACTCCATACATTTCTTCACCAAGTTCTTGCGGATGACTTTCAAGATCTTGTTCTGCTGAAGCATTTCACGGGAGATGTTCAGAGGAAGATCCTCACTGTCGACAATACCGCGCATGAAGTTCAAGTAATCAGGAATAATCTCTTCGCAGTTGTCCATAATAAAGACTCGTCTTACGTAGAGCTTTATATTATTCTTGCGCTTCTTGTTTTCAAACAAATCAAACGGAGCGCGTCGTGGAGCGAACAGAAGAGCACGGAACTCAAGCTGACCTTCTACTGAAAAGTGTTTAACAGCTAAGTGGTCTTCCCAGTCGTTGGTCAAGCTCTTGTAGAACTCGCCGTACTCTTCCTGGGTGATGTCATCTGGGTTGCGGGTCCACAGTGGCTTGGTCTTGTTCAGCTCTTCGTCTTCAGTGTATTTCTCTTTGATAGTTTTCTTTATCTTCTTTGTCTTCCTCCTCGTCCTCACCAACGTCTTCAATCTTGGGCTTGTCGTCTTCATTTTCGTCAGCGTCTTTTACTGCCTTTACTTCTTCCTCCTCCTCCTCGTCATCGCTGATTTCTTTTTCACGCTCCTTCTCGACTAAAAGTTTGATCGGGTTAGAAAATTTTGTTAGAAATTTTGGTTAAATAAATTTTGTTAATTAGAAATAAATTTTTTAATAAAAAAAATTCTCAATTTCTCGCGTAGGAAAATTATTTAAAATAAAATTTTAGATCATTAAATAATGAGATGTCAATTATTAGAATTTATTGTAAAATAATTTTATGTAAAAAAAAAAATTGAGTTTAATAAATTGCAAAATAAATTTTATTAAGAATTTTGTTTAAATAACCTTTTTATTAATTAAAAATAATTTTTTATTAGGATTTTAAAGAAAAAAAAATTTAATACCTCGCGTAAGAAAATGATTTAGTTAAAATAAAATTTTAAATAATTAAATAATGAAATTTTGTAATTTTAAATTATTAGATTTTTTTGTAAAATAATTTTTATATGTAAATAAAATATTTAGTTTAATTGTTTGATAAAGTTACATTTACTTTTTACTTTGCGGCTGTGGCCCGACTTGTGCTTTCTGTACCGTATTCACCCTGAACCTCACCTTCTCAGGTTGTTGGAACAGAATCATGGGGAAACCACAGAGAAAACCCATGATAGTACAGTCGGAGCTGAGCTAAGTCTATAATTAAATATAATTACTGAAACATATTGGTGCGTGTCACCCAGAGTCGGATAGCTCTTTTATCTGTGTATACATCCGATGGGTTATATCCTCGTTTTATCACTCTAAAAAAAAAAAAAAAATATTAAAATATAATAAATGATTAGAAAAGACAGTGAATTGAAAATAAATACACAGAAAAAAAAGGTTCACTTGAGCCAAGAAAATAATTTTCTTCTTAATTATGTTTTTGAGCGAAAAAAAATTTTTTTTTCGATACAAGAAATTTTACATATTCCAACAAAATTAACTCTCTTGCTTTAAGGAATACGTATCTTTATCCAAGAAAATTTATTTAAGTCAAAAAAATCTTGTTGTTTTGAGAAAATTCAGCCTCTTGTTCCAAAAAATTTAGTTCTTGATAGAAGTAAACTTTCTTGTCTTGAGAAAATTTCTCTCTTGTTCCAAAAAATTAAATATAAAGATAAAAGTAAATTTTCATTAATATATTTATTGATTAACATATCAAATGGGAAGATCAAATAATATTTCATCATTTTTTTTCTTTCAATATGTATAATAGCACGCTAAAATAATATAAAATAGGTATCAAATATTCAAGAGAAAATTTTCTCAAGGTGAGGAAATTTTTTTCTCAGCTGAAGTAGGTGGCAATGCTTTCCTAAAGTATCTAAAAATCATGATCTAATATAAAAATTTATCAAGTATTTATGATAAGTTGAATTAAGAAAAAATTACTTTCACCAAGAATAGAATTTCAAGAAAAATTTTCACTTCGATCAACACAACTTCGGTCTTCCTTCAGGCATCCGAAAATTTTCTTGAGCCAAAAGTTCCGTTCTACAGTCAAGAAATTTTTCTTTCTATGTATTAAAATTTTTTATACAATAAATTTTATTACAAAAATTCATAAAGAAAAAAACTATTTTGAAGCTTCATTATTAAAATTTAAAAAAAGATCAAAGAGCCGGAATTTGAAAATATAAATCCGCGGTTTACGAGTAATACATCCTGAAAAAAATACTCAAAGGAAACATGAAAAATATTAACGTTACTTTTCACTTTAACAAAAAATATTTTCTACTGCACTTATCCTTTGACATATTCATACAAGCCATAACTCTCTGGCACATTATATAAAAGTTTTCTACACCCTACTTCCAACCCCTAGTTGACAAAATACATATTCATGGAGCACTAGAAAAATATCTGATAGGGTTGATGAAAAAACTAAATTTTCCTCTCTTTGGTCTCCCAGCGAGCCTCCAAGATATAATTTATAATCATCAGGGCCCCTGGTGAGGTGTGACGTTAGAAATTGGGATAAAGGCACATATGTGTTAGGCATACTCCATATATATGTGGAGTAACTCGGCAAAACTTGATCCAAACACAGTCGGAAATTAATCAGGACTACATTGCTCTATTTTCGCGAAGTTTACACAAACATACAAATTTTCACACATGCACACCCACGTGTGTAATGAAGGAACTAAATGTGTGTGAGTTTTATAACTGAGTAAAGTGTTAAATGTAGAGCGCATGTACCACCAACTACATAAGACTATTATCCATGTGTGTAAGGGTGTGTGTGTGTG